TGTCCTTGTCCATGTAGGAACACTTTTTAGTGGGAAAGGCAGACAAAAATTAAATAAATTACTAACAAATAAATGGGAAAATAAATAAGATAATTGCAAACTGCAATAAATGCTTGGTAAGAAAGCTAAGAGAAAGGAGTCCTATAATAACTTAATCAGGTTTCCAAACTCTCCTTTCCTATTACTACTTCTCTGGTCCTTGACCATGACTACTTCTCAGGGGAGCTACCTTCTGATTGCTCCAGTAAGGACAAGTATAAATGATACTTTGTAAATACAGGTAATTCCCTGCTTGCATGTCTATTTTATTGGCCTACGTAGATCTTAAGCAAATCAAGTTATAATTCTTGGACATCACAGGAAGTAGATCTTTACCTTAATGCATGAGGGATTTAGGTTAGACACGGTGAAGAACTTCTGGCAAAAAGTTAGTGGAACAGGTGCCAGAGGCACTGTATTAGTCAACTTTATGATAGTAGTACTGCATAACAAATAACCTAAATTCTTAGAGGTTTACAACATTTTGCTTTTGCTCACAGGTTTATGAATTGGCTGTACATTCTCTTACAGATTATGGATCTTGTTCTGGTCCACTCCATGTAACTTCTTATTCTGGGACCCAGGTTGAGCTGACAGGGGCACGCTCTTCTCATGGCAAAGGGTAGAGATTCAAGAAGCCACTCCAAGCTAAGCAAGCGGAGTTAAAACCTCTGCTTATATCCCATTGGCTAAAACAAGTCACATGGCGAGGCTCATAGTCAATGGGGTGGGGAAGTTTACTTGAGGGGTGTTGTGGAGAGTGGGTGTTTGCTGAACGATAATACACTCTGCTGTAGGGAGGCTATGGAGTTTCCTTCACAAGTGGTCTTCACAAATAGACGAGATTGTTATCTTTCTGGGTTCCTCTGGGTACCATATTATCTGAAGTATAGTAAAGGAGGACCAGAACACATGATTTCTTAAAGATGCCTATTTTGGTACAAGGGCAATGTAATTTGTGTTTGATATCTAGTTGCCACTCAAGCCCCTTTTCCTTCTTCACCAGAGCTGTGCCATGGGGGTGATTTCCAGACCAAGTCTTAATATCAGAGTCTCTGTGTGATTGTATACAAGTGACAGTCACACAGCAAACATAAATACAGAAGAGGCTCTGATACCATCGGGAACAGTATTCCTGCCATCCGGTCAGCTTTGTCTGCCGCTGCAGTGCAGTTAACTCTGGAATGAAATTGGAAAGCTAACTGATAGTCAGAGGGGACTGGGAAGAGTTTCATTTGTAACTGAGACAGGTAAGGGCTCAGCAAATAGTGAGGCAAGGACGGGATTTTGCCACAGGTGAGATAAATTCGGCCTACGAACATTTACACATTGCGTTGAATCACTTGATGGTCTTAATATTTGAACATATTCAAATGGAAGGACACAGGCACAGTTGTGAACTCACACCCTCAGCAGATTTTTATTTTTATTTTTTACAAGGCTTCATGTTCTGTCCCTTTTTCATCCTTGATGATAACTTCCCTCTCCTTTGATCCAAGTGTGCTCTTTCTCTTTCTTTTCCAATGTCTGCTCTCAGGAACTCTGCAGGTGCCATTCAAAGTGCAGTTCCCAGAGCAGCAGCAGCTGACTGTCTCTCTCTGTCTCTCTGGTGAGCGCATGCGCCCTATAGCAAAAACCTCTCCAAAACAAACAAACAAACAAACAAAAACCACACTAAAGTTAGAGAACCATGGTAATTCTGTCTGTGTAGGTCTGAGGTGAAAACCATGACTTCCATTTTTTTTTCTTTCTTATGTATGTATTTGATCCATCTATCTAGCTAGCTAGCTATCTAATTTGTTGGCATTTTATTTATTTATTTATTTATTTATTTTGGAGAGGTTTTTGCCATAGGGCGCATGTGCTCGCCAGATAGACAGAGAGAGACAGAAAGTGAGAAATTATCCCCCAGGGGGATGGCCATGCCGCAATCCCTTCTCCTCCATTCTCCTCTCGGGATCTTGGGCATGCACGCACACGTGCCCGCCATGAGTTTTAAGCCACCGGGTCCAGGACTCGAACTGCGGTTGACTACATGGGAGTTCAGCGACATAGCCATTATGCTAACTGCTGGTCCCTATTCGTTGGTGTTTTAAAACTACTGGGTCTAGGATATGAACCATGGTCAGCCATCTGGGAATCCAGCACCTTAACCACCCCGCCACCTGCTGGCCGCATGACTTCCATTTCTAACAAGCATGCATATGACACTGATGTTGTTACCTGCATCAGCACTTAGAATAGCACTGCTTTAGAACTCAGTCATACACGCGTGAAATGACAGCCAACAGGTAAAAGCTGGACTGTCCCAAAGAAAGGATTAAAGTTTTGGAGGAAGAAATGGGTCACGAATAATGAAATTTCGGGCAACAGCCACCAGGTTTTGTTTGTTTTTAAAAGTTTTTAGAACTATTTACTTAATTTTATTTACTAGTATTATTATTTAATTTGACCAGAAAGACACACACACATACACACACACACACACACACACACAGAGAGAGAGAGAG